CCGGCCCTATATATATATATATATATATATATATAAGGCTAACCCTCTCCTTCCAATCATTTTATAATTTTGAGCTTCCGGCCCTATATATATATATATATATATTTTACCCTTTGTTTGACCTATAACAATATTGACCTAAGGAATGCTAGGGAAACCATCTTTTATAAATCATGTGGCAGTTGATGGTTGGACTCATTTTTAATGATTTAAAGAAGAAGTACAACCATCGATCACCATATCATGTGGTTTACATAATATGGTTTGAAAATTTGGTCTCTCTAGCATCACCCTTAACCTAAAGACAAATTTATAAGAGCACTTAAAAAAGGATGTACATTAAGGGTACGTTTATTGCATCGAACTATCTCAGACTAAACTTGTCACATCCCGGTCCGGGCCGCCACCACATCCAGGGCTCGACTCCATTATAGCACGATATTGTCCGTTTTGGGCCCCGACCATGCCCTCACGGTTTTGTTTATGGGAACTCACACGAGAACTTCCCAATAACAAAACCGTGAGGGCGTGGTCAGGGCCCAAAGCGGACAATATCGTGTTATGGCGGAGTCGAGCCCGGAATGTGGTGGGGGCCCGGGCCAGGATCTGACAATTTGGTATCAAAGTCAATCCCTGGTCGGAAATGTGCCGAAGAGAACGTCGAGCCCCGAAGGGGGGTGGATTGTAAAATCACATCGCCCAAGGGTGAGGATCCTAATATGTATATTCTCATCTTTACTTAGCACGAGGCCTTTTGGGAGCTCACCGACTTCGAGTTCCATCAGAACTCTGAAATTAAGCGAGTTCGTGCGAGAGCAATCCTAGGATGGGTGACCCATTGGGAAGTTCTGCTCGCGTGAGTTTCCAGAAATAAAACTATAAGGGCGTGGTCGGGGCCTAAAACGGACAATATCGTGCTACGGCGAAGTTGAGCCCGGGATGCGGTGGGGGCCTGGGCCGGGATGTGACAAAACTAGCTTTAAAGACTAAGCTAGACTGGCTTAGAATATATTAAGTTGGACTGACTTAATGAAGCGCTTGGTAAGTATTGAACTAAAAAATAGGATAATAATTTTTTTTTTTTTATAACAATTGATACTATATACACTAAGGGGGTGGGGGATGGGGCTATGGCTCACAATGGGCTATCGCTAATATGGTTCAAATTCGCCTTTGACAAGAATTAATATCTCTCACTTACAATTAAAAATGAATACCACTATACCATAGTTTTAAGATAATAAAAATGATTTCAATGAAAATGCCTTCAACAATTTCGTCACAATTCCTCAACTAATTATACGGCTTCACTTAGAAAAGATTATAAATTCAATGAAAACACCTTCAACAATTTCCTCCCACAATGACAAAATCCCATATGTGCAAACACAAGCCACTGCATCATCGTATTCCGGTGGAACCCAATCAATTTTCACAATTCCAGCATCCTCATGCACCTAAAGAAAAAAAAAATTACACACTTGAAGAGGGCCGATATGTGCCCACAACCAAACATAAATATATAAAAAAATGAGTAAACGGAGAATACAAGGACAAAAGGTAGGATATCGAGTCACAAACCGAGAATCTGACGAGAATGTTAGCTTAATGATCATTGCAGAAAATAGTGCAGTTACCTGGCGCTTGTGGCTTGACATTTCTAAGTTGAACCGTCCGAGTCGTTGACGTGCGCTCGGGCGGCGAACTCAAAATGATACCATCGCCCAGCCTCGCTCATCTCGATGACCAATTCCATCCACTCATCTTTGGCCCGATCGGAACTCAAATGACGAGTCGCTTCTAAGGAATATTTTTCAATCAACCCCTCAATCGTCTTGTCCCCTATTTCTCGTCGGTAAGTTGTGGTTCAAACGCTTCATTGTATGAAGCCAAAGGAAGCTCGTCATACAATACCTTTGGCTGGAGTAGTTCCAAGAAGAAGGCCGATATGTGCCCATGATGGTTAGATGCAATGGAGGTATATCGGTCTTGTCGGAGATGGAAGAGGCAAAAGATGGTAGAGAAGGAAGACGAAATAGGCAAAAAGGGGTCTGAGACTTAAACTAGGCGGAATAAGGTAGCGAAGTAAGACAGAAGAGGTAGAAGAAGGTCTGGGACTTAGACGAGGTAGAAGTAGGGCTGGGCATGGGCCGGGCTGGGCCCAAATTTGGAGGAATCGGACCTACCCGTTTTAAAATGTAATGGGGTGGGCTGGGCCGGGTAGAAGGATTTTAAGTTTGGAAACCAAACCTAACCCAACTTGTTTCAAACGAGCCGGTTCGGGATGGGTCCACGGGTCCAATTACTTCTTTTTTTTCGGTTTTGATACAGAGCTCTAGAACGTTCCAGATTGCTCCTACAGCCACAACAGTTCTTCCCAATCAACCAAAACTGATTTCCCAAATCAACGCCACAACTCCTACCAAGCAGCACCGTAAAGATGAAATGAAGTGATACCCCGTCTCCCAGCCATGAACACCATACCAGTCTCGGCTAGAAATTGAAAGAAGCATGTGGAGTTCAGTGAATGTCTGAGGTGACGAAGGTGAATCGATGATAGTCTGAGTTTGGTGACGTCGTCGAGGAGAGATAGGAAATTAAGAAACATGATAGGAGTGGGAAAAGATGAGTCGGCGATGGTGATGGTCATGACAGCAGTGATATGGTGAATCGGTGGTGGTCTGCGTTTGGTGATGTCAGCAATGAGAAATAGGAGTGGGAATAGATGAGTTGAGTGGGAAAGGTAGTGGTCCCCGTCTCTCTTGCTCATCTCTCCCAATCCCAAATCAAGTTCTCTGTCTCTCGACTCTGATAATGCCTAAACCAGAGATCTCGATGCCGGTGATGGGGTAGTCGTCATTGTTGCGGTGGCGATGGGTTGATGATGGATTAGTCTTTTGGGTTTTCGGTGATATCGTCGAGGGAGATAGATAATAGTGGGAAAGATGAGATGAGTGTCGGTACTATAGGACTTAGGATGGAGAGAGATTGGGAGAAGGATAATCAAGAAGATGGGTCATCGTGGTGGTCGCCAGACTTGCTACGGCGATGATGTTCTGGATGGTGGAGAAGGTGACTGACGGAGACTGTGGGTGGAAGGGAGGGGACGCAAGAAAAAGTGGAGTTTGAAACCAGAAAGACTCGGGTTTGATTGAGACCTAGAGTAAAAACTGACGTTTAAGATTGGATGATATTATCTTCTTCAATCTCATCTGTCCATTGCAATTACAAACGAGCTGGTCTGGGACCCCGTTTTTCTATACATCTGGAATCGCCCCGCCTCTAAAATTTCATTGCCCCGCCCTACCCCTTTTCTCTTATTAAAAATTGGAACTGACCCGTACCTGCCTTGAACCTTGATTACCCGCCCCAACCCACAGTTCTTATACTCGTTTGCCCACCCCTAGGTGGAAGTGGAGAGATTTTTTAGTGTGACCAGTATACGAGGTGGTACACCATGTGTCACTATACAAATGGTGGGATATGTGTGTTAAAAGTTAACAACTTAAAAAATAAAATTTCCCACCACTTATATAAAAACACGTGGTGTACCCCCGTGTTCCAGTCAATGAAAAATTTCTCGTGGAAATTCGTTCTTAGCAATCCCTTTCTTTTCGAGGGCTCTCGCTAAGAATTTCTAGCGAGTGCCTTTTAATTTCATTAAATTTAGTTCCAATATGAAACAAACACTGGACTGCACTAGTAGGTAGTCCAGTCTAATCCAGTGAGAGTTAATGAGGCCTAAAAACACACCCTAAGTATATAATGGTATGGGTCGACCAAGTGCTCGACGAAATGCTTCATCGAAAACATTGAATTTTTTTTTTGGCACTACATGTGCTATTGTTTAATGGAACAAGGTAATCCTGTATCTGCCATTGCTTAGTTGTGCCCTCAGTGAATTTGCTATTTAGCTTTGCCATGATTGTCATCCCTAATGAAAATAATCATCTAGCAATAAACCATTGTTCCATAACTGCAATAAACTTTGTATGCCGACAAATATACAAATGGTTAATCTTCCTAAAGGGGGCACCTAGAAATTAATTCAAAAGCTGTGGTCCGTGAAGATATGAACAGATAAAAAGTCCAAGGTTTGTTGAAAGTTGGAAGGAGCTAAGCAAGCACACAAGTTGACAACGTAATTTCAAAACCGTGTTGCGCCGTACAGCGTGTGTAAGCTGTGCCTTTCTCGAATCTAGATCTTCGGTCAATGTTGACAGACAAGAACAAACCAAAGCTAATTAATCATCTTTATAAAAAAGAATTGTTATTAGCATTTTAAAATTTTCATTTTATATTTCTCACAAGTGTATTTTTTTTTATAATTATAAAAAATTTGAAGTGCTGAATAAGATTTTTAAAGTGCTAATAATAATTTTCTTATAAAAACCTAACTACTCTAAGAGTAACTCTTTATTTTAGTCATAATTCGGTTACATGACATTATTTTTAATTGAAATTGTGTTATATAATTTTTGTTTGTATTTAATTATATTACTTATTTTTTTAATATAATACATAAAATAATATATTACGTAATTTGTGTTGTAAATAGATATAAAACTTCTCCTCATCTGCAACTACCTACAAGGAGTGCCAAACATGCCTACTTATATATAATTAATATCTTATCTAGCAAAGTCGGAGCCTTGACCTTGACCATCAGGAATTTCAAGGCCGACATGGCTTTTAGCCTTCCTCCTCCATAGTCCATCCCCATATATCTCTCGCTACATGTATAAAATAACAATTTCTAGATAGATGAAGATAAATCATGAGACGTGACAATCTTAAGAAAATACCTTGAATATCTGCTCTCTCCCATCGTGCTATTTCCTCGCACTTTCCTTCCCGGTATATTCCTTATTATTTGTCTTCGCTCTCCTTATAGCTATATATGCATTGGGCAGCTCCCGAGTCCTGAGAAGTTTTACTTTCAATACTGAAACTTCACAAAGATTATTAATTTCTGCAAATTGCAAGCCTTTTGTTCTTGATCAACAATGGACTCAACGTGGGTGAACACTTCTCTCGGCCTTAATCTTGTTCCGTTTTGCCGTGCCAATGATAGTCGAGCTCCTGCCACTGTGAGTAGTTTTATAATTCAAGCTTTTTGTTGTTGTTGTTGTTAATATCATTCTTTGATGCCTTGTTTCTTCTGGGTTTGACCTTATTTTCTTGGTAATTAAGTTATACACATTGGAACATCTACTTAATCTCCTAAATAATCTACTTTGAAATCAGATGCAACAAGAGTTTGAAGGGGGTTATGCTCAACTCCAAGGCAATGCATTGGTGAAAGAAGAGGTGAGTTAATTTTGTTCAACATGGTAATGAAACTATGGGTATATATTTTTGCACGTTGTTTTTTCACCTTCTGCACGTCCTTCTTAGTTTTGGCCATTAATTTCGCTTTGATTTGTCACCTTGTGTACATCCTTCTTAATTTTGGCCATTAATTTGGCTTTAATTTGTTTAATCCAATGATTGAAAAAGAGAGAGTGCAACAGGTGAAAAACCGTGTGCATAAATTATCTTTCTGAAACTATTTGTCACCTATAATTTTTTAATGAAACTTATTAACTTGGTCTTCTTAATTTGATTTTAACTGATAGCAGGCAGCTAGTCATCATGATGTGTTGGCTGAAGAGTTGAATAGGGTAAGTGTGGAGAACAAGAAGCTGACTGAGATGCTAACTGCCCTCTGCGAGAATTACAACACTTTGCAATCCCAAGTGGGGGAATTGATGACTACCCAGCAGCAGCAAAACAAAACATCTGATATTTATAGGAAGCGAAAGGCAGACAGTGAAGATTACAACAACGTGATTGGATTAATTAGTCCCGACTAATACTGACACCAGTTCCATCAGTGATGATAAAGAGTATTCATGCAAGAGGCTAAAGGAGAACACCAACTTAAAGATTTCCAGGGTTTATGTTCACACCGATGCATCCGATACAGGCCTCGTAAGTCCTATTCATCAATTTAACCCTATAGCCCACTGCATCTGTTGAGATTTCTAGGGATTTTTTTCTTCATAAACTATGAACTTCCATTAGTAATTTATTTGATTCTAATTTAATGCAGATTGTGAATGATGGATACCAATGGAGGAAATATGGTCAGAAGGTCACAAGAGATAACCCATCTCCTAGGGCTTACTACAAGTGCTCCTTTGCCCCAAGTTGCCCTGTTAAAAAGAAGGTATTAATTACGTGAACCCAATCTCCTTCTTACCAACATGAAATTCCAGAAAAATAGAAAAGAGAAGTGAGAGTTTTTTTACACAACTATATTGTATTGGGGGTGTGGGGTTTGGTGACCCGATCTATGATTAGGTATCAAACTCATGGAAGTTGGATTTCAGATTTTTCACTTACAAAATAAAAAGAAATACTACTAGATAGTATTGGGGGTGTGAGATTATGTACTGATATTCTTACTAAAATTCTCAGGTGCAAAAAAGTGCTGAAAATCCATGCCTACTGGTGGCTACATATGAAGGAGAACACAACCACATGTATCCTGAGAAGCGAGCTGAAGTTACACTAATAGCCCCGGTATCTCCAAAACAGAACCAGCAGCTTATTACTAGTCCAATTTCCGTTTTACCATCCGTGGCAAAGATATCTCCGGCTCCAACTTTTTTAAGTGACGATAATCGAATAAGTCCCAATAGTGCCATGTGCCCCCCAGAAACTCAAGCTCCGACGTTCAACAGTTTTTGGTACAACAAATGGCTTCTTCCCTGACCAAAGATCCCAATTTCACATCTGCTCTTGCTGCTGCCATTTCAGGAAGAATTTCAGGCCACACTATGGCCCGAAATGGTGAAAAGTGAAAACCCTAATTAGAGCTACCTTGTTATCACTTAGAGAGAGAGAGAGACTGAATTTGCAAACTAAATGATGTGTCACTAATAGGAATGAACATGTTTATCAACGCTTAAGTAATATACCAATTATCAACTTCCAAGTCATTTAGTTTCCAAAATTTAGTCTACAAATTGAGTAGGCATTATCCTTTCTTTTCTTATTTACATTACATATGATTTGAGAGTTGTAATTAAAGTGTAGGGATGTAAATAGAATTTGAAATCGATGAACCAAAATCTTGTTGTTCTTTGTTACCATTTATTCACTCATATATATAATATTTATGTGACTTGTGTAAGAATCTGAACTTACCACATATTGAGAAGTTAACGAATCTTGTTTATAACCCATTTCCAATTGGTTTTAAGATTGAACCTTAACTTTTTTATGGTACTGGGCGTGCTTCATCTCTACTAATTATCTCGACTAATTAATAAAACACTTATTGTCAACCAAAATCCTATGAAATTACAAGTTTAACCCTCTAATTAAAACAAAACATGAACAAGAAATATGAGGCATAAATGTAATTTCACACAATCAAATTTTACTGTTTTTTTTTCAAAGCCTCACCTACATGTAATCTTAACATATCTCTAATTAAAAAAAAATTAAAAAAAAACTTATCACTCCCACATTCTTTATCACTCTCTTCGTCTCTCCTTTTATTTCAAAAACAAAAATTAAAAAAAAATTCTCACACACTTTGTGTGTGCCCATATGCTAGTATATATTAAAGGCAACTCCCCACATACGACAATTGATTTTTGAAAACCTCAACTTCCTTCAGAGCTCTAATAAGGATATTGTTAGGTAGACTAATTTTTTAGACTAAATTTGTAAACCATGTGATGTGTCACTAATAGGAAATAAGCACGTTAATCAATACTTAAGTAATTATCAAGTCATCAAGAACCACGTCATATAATTTACAACATATGTTTTAAATAGAAGGTCTCCCTAACATCAAGGGGTTCACTTGTGGGAATAATTAATAGAAAACTAGATTTTAATCCTCAAATAAGATGAAGTCTAGAAAAATATCTTATACAAGATTAAAATTTGATTTTAGTCTCTAAACTCTATTTAATACCAGCATATGTATTCAATTTCTCTCTTTTTTATTTATAATTTCATAAATTAAATTTTATGAAAATATTATACATTTTAATTCTCATTATGGTAAGTATCTTATATAAGAAAATATTTTCGTACAGATTTTTCGGTACACTTATGTTTTTGTATATTTTCTTATGTGCCACTAATTTATTACAATATATTTAGGTACGAACATTTCGGTACACTACATAGTATAATAAGTTTAGGTACGGACATTTCGGTACACTAGTTTAATATAATATATTTAGGTACCAACATTTCAGTACACTAGTTTAGTATCATATATTTGGGTACGGAATTTCCGGTACATTTATATTTTTACATATTTTCTTATGTGCCACTAATTCACTACAATATATTTAGGTATGGATATTTCAGTACACTAATTTAGTAAAATATATTATGATATGGACGTTTAGGTACACTAATTAGAGTAAGTTAAATAAAATTAATGAATTAAAATGTGTATAATAAATTAAAATTTAATGTTATGACATTAAATAAAATATCTATTTTTGTTTTATAATATGAATTTGAATTAAGTACAAGGACTAAAATTAATATTCAATCTAACATCAGATTTTTATTCAATTTTAATCTTCTCAAGATTAAAGTTGAAAAACTCCAATAATTAATCTCATAAACACAACTATTTTTGTCGCTTAGAAAGATCAACAGAAATAAAAATTGAATTTCAAGGAAATATACAGAAACCCAACTAATAAGACTTTATACGGAACGACTTGAAGGTGCGGGTCGTGTCAGGAAAAAAAAAAGAGTCCAATAATATTAAGGCCGGAATGTTGGACAAAACGAATTGGAAGCAACTATATTAATAAGTTCATCACATCACTTGGAGTAGCTTATAAGGCATAAGAAAGCAGCTGCATGATCAACATCATGGACAGGACAGGATGGAAAATTGACAAGAAAATAATGCCCTTCAAAAATTTAACTAGTGGAACGTATAGTCGTGATGCAGCCGTATAAATTGACTAATTAAATAACTACTAGTGCATACTCTTCAATTTATTTTTTCAACAAACTAAAATCCTATATATATATATATATATGGAATTTTAGTCTAAGAAGGGCCTAAATGTGTCAATCTGAAATGCTCTCCTAATCTTACAAAAAATCTCTACCGTATGTTGAGCAACTAACCAATGCCATTTGGTTTGGTATGGTGCCGTCCTCATCACCCTCTTCCTTAAACCTAAACCCCAAGACTCTTTGACTTTCTTCCTCTCTCTTTCTCCCTCCACTGAACATCAGACCAAAGCCCTCTTCAAAGCTCATAAATAATGGATTGCCTGAACTCGCATAAGAGTCACCAACATCAAATTAAACTCGATGAAAAAAAAATAAAGTAAATAAGTCGGATTGGACCCTATGCACTGTTCTAAAAATCGGCCTAGGTGAGTGTCTAGGTTGCGCATAGGAGCTAAGCGGTTGAGGACTGATGCGATTTAGGTCAAAACGTAGAGGAAAATCAAGTAGGGACTATGCGGTCTAAGCGGTCTAGCCAGACTAGGCGGACTAGATGAGCTAGGCGGCTTAGGCGGTTCAAGGTTTAGGATTCCATTATTATTATTATTATTTTTAAAAGTACCCATATTATTTCTTTCGCTGTTTCGTGTTTCTCTTCTCCCTATCTCTCCGCACAGACGCTTTCTCTCTCTTTGTGTCTGCACAGACGAGTGTGATGATGTCAGTGCCATAATGGCTTAAGCTTTAACCTTCCCAAATTCTCAATACAAGTATATTTTTTTTAGAATGTAAGTAAGCATAACTTTAAAAATCATAAACATAACACTAAATTTTCATATATGAAAAGAATTCAGAATGGACCTGAGACTATCTTGGTCCCTTCATAACTCGGCTTGGGACCACGGTCCCACCAATGTACAACTGGTGCTACAGGCCCATTTGCACTCTCGCTAATGAGTTAAGAAATTGAATTATAAGGGACAATCATTCAATTAAGTCTTGGAATGTGACTATTGATATGTGTCGCGTATTGGCTTCTAGGTCTTCTTTCTTTATGACCAGAGAAAGTCTTCCCGCGTGAAAACGACTTATAGTTTGTTAGTGGAGCTTTTTAGTAGTACATGGGGACAAGTCGTAGCTAGTACGTGCTAACTATTAGTACATACTAACTATTGTCCCGCTAGTATGTGATATTTTTTTACTTACAAGACTTGTGAGTAGACCTGTAAACGGATCGGGTTTATTGGGTTTGGGTCGGGTTCAACCCGACCCGTTAAGTTAACGGGTCATCCGAACCCAACCCGTTAAGCTAACAGGTCACCCGAACCCGACCCGTTAAGCTAACGGGTCACCCGTTTCACCCATTATCACCCGTTAACAATTATTATTATTATTTTTTTGCATAAAGTTTATTTTTTGTTATCAAGACTTTACTAAAATTACTAAAATATCCTCAACTAACGGGTGTTAACGGGTCCTAACGGGTTGACCCAAAGTGACCCGTTATTTAACGGGTTGTTAACGGGTTCACCCGTTAGCGACCCGACCCGTTAAGCATCCACCCAAATACAAATATTAACGGGTTGGGTCGGGCCGGGTTAACGGGTTGGGTCCAAAATGCCAGGCCTACTTGTGAGTCTCATGATCAGTATGCTTGGTGAAATTCTGGAATATGGATGACCTTGAATATGTGATCTTTTGAAATTTAAAGGCATTTTTTTTTAAATCAAACTCTGGAATTTAGCTTAAACATATAGTATATACAGCAATGCAGATACATATATGTATACGATTTCCACTAATTAACATAACTTGTTAATTACTTTTTTACTTGGACTTTAACTGAAAAGTTTTTTTAGTTTTTATTTTGTCAAATGGAGAAAGATTAGGCGAGATTAGGTCTTTGGCAATTGTCACGAGACACCTACCATCTTCCAAATAGATGAGGACCATTACATACACCCAGAAACCCTCCGCCCTTTCCTCATCCACCAATTGTTGAAAATTATTTTCAGTCGCACAAAGATGTAACTTTCATAGCATTACTCTTATTTATGTGGAAAAAATATAACGTTGGCATAAGCTTTAATGTAAAGAAAATGATTTTGTTACTGCACACTCTTGCTCAATTGTGAGTAACGTGTCAATTTACTCTAGCTATTTCATGATTTAATTTGTTTATTTCAATTCAAAAAATAAAAATAAACATATAACATTGTAAAAATAAAAAATAAAAAGTATCGTGTGAAAAACACTTTTTAAAATGTACTACTAAATTAGTAATAGAGTTAGTGATCTATAAATATAATACCAGAATTAATTATAGGCAAAAGTATATGAGAAGTTTTCAAAATACCCAATATTCAAACAGATACTTCAGATATCATAAAATAAATAACGAAACACGAAAAAATAAATTATGTCCGTTACTTATATTATAATATGTGAAGTACTCCTTGAATACATGATACTTAAAATAATCTCTCATGATATATCACAAAGGAAGAGTGAAGCGAGTCATGTGATGAAGTGGGCGCTGGTGGGGAGGTTTCGTGCATGGACTGATCAGCATCTCCTTGTTGGTTAGTCAATTGTCACTTTGTATGTGGACATTTTTTAGCCCTTACATAATTGACTTCAACGACGACCTCTGAATATGAAAAAAAATGGACAAAGATTATCTGCCCTCCCACTTTTGGTACCTTCCCGTGTCCTTCTGTTTGTGTGATCACAGTTAAATCACATAAACATTTTATATTACTATTCATTTTTGTCTTATTATATCTATAAAAAAAACAATATAAAATGTTAATATGCCTTAACCGTGACCACACAAAACAGGAAGGCACGGAAGGGCACC